CCGCTTCCCCACCCCCCCTCCCGCTGAGAAGGTCTGGACAGTCCCCCGACCCTGCGAAGCTGTTGCTACTGTGCTGGGTGGATCTCTCCTCGGGTCCAACCCGCGCCCGAATTCTCCTCTCAGTTGCAAGCATCCATCACCAAGCCTCTCAACCCCGAGAAGGACTCTTGGCAACCGCGATTCCTGTTGCAGGGCTTCCTCGTTCTGTATGCTTCTCTGCGCCGGACCCAGGCTACTTAACACCGGGATGCTAACTTCATTCTTTTCGTTTGTGTTTGTTTTTTTCTTGTTGCTTCATCAAGCTCACTAGCCCAGACATTTGATGGGAAGAAAATCTGATTTCCTAAGGGTACATCTGACAAGTCAGATTCAAGGTCTTAATAAATAGTAATGATGCCTGGACTGCTTTTATCCAGTTGCTACTTTGGATATTACCATCAGTTGCCTCCTAATTAAATAATTTCTTGCAGAGCATGTAGGGTAATCGTGAAGTCAAATGGCTTGAATATTGTGATCAGGTAGGAAGTTCCTGATAAAAGATGTTGATTATGCAAATTTAAGCAGTGAATTAAGATTAAATATTCTGTTGCTATACATTTGTGATACATCTATTACTAGCTACATATGATTTTTGTGAAACGAAGTGTACAAGAATGAGAAATCACTTCTGTCTTGGATTTTTCAGCACAATGGTTTGTGGATCCCATGATACATATTTAAGTACTCCAATTAATAATAGATTTAAATCATTTATTTTCCCATTATCATATTTTTCCATTACAATTTTTAATGACCCAAAGGGAGAGTGTGAAGCAAAAACATTCTTAATTAAACCATCCTCAGATGACAACTCAAGACCAAAAGAGATGGCAGAGGCACAAGGTAGGAAAATTAACTGCTCATGAATACTCAAAAAAGACAAAACAAACCTGATCAATTCTTTTTCTTTTGTCAATTGTGGGACTCAGGGCCTGGATACTCCTGTTCCTGAGCTTTTCTGCTCAAGAATAGCGCTCTAACACAGCTTCACCTCCCTGATCAGTTCTTTATATAATCTGTTACAACTACTGTCACAACAGAAAGCTCAATCAAGCTTTTCTTGCTAGATAAGTTGTAATCATCTGTGTCCTTTGAAAGTAGCTTAAATAAGGATATGAAGAACAGATCCAAATTATTCTCCAAATCAACAAGTAGACATCTTTAGGCATTTTTAAATAAAAGCTACCATACCCACCTGTATAATCCTTCAATTTTTGAAACATGAACTCCCAGAAAGGGGTTGTATATTCCAGGTACTTGAAATATTTTCTAAAATTCAAGCAAAAAGCAGAGGATTTGCTGGTCAGTGATTATGTGCTATCACCATTCTAGGTATCTTTAGGTCAACAAAAGAAATACAAGGCAAAGCATATAAAACTTAAAAGGCAAAATTCTATCTAGATAACTCAGCTATTTATAAATTATAATATTTTAATGAGCCACAACAATATCTATAATCACAACTTTGATAAATCTATTATATATTCAAAGCACTGCATCTTCCACTAGCATAGATATTCTATATGTTTCTGTCTATAAACTGTATTTAGTTTTCTATATTTTGTAACAAAACATTGTAAACTGACAATATGACTCCTTTTAGTTTAATCTGAGAAATGTGTAACTCTTGAAAACTTGAACATTTTTATATGCATACTGTATTATTAGTCAGGACTTTATTGTTTGTAAACAACAGAAACGCACTCAAAGAGGCTCAAGCTAAAAAAGAAATTGTAGTGTTATTTCATTTTGTTTTTTTGTCGGTCATGGAGATTGAACTCAGGGCCTCAGCACTAGTTCCTGAGCTCTTTTACTCAAGGCTAGCGCTCTACCACCTTGAGCCTCCTGGTTTTCTGGTGATTAATTGGAGGTAAGAGTCTCACAGACTTTCCTGCCCCAGCTGGCTTTAACTGTGATCCTCAAATCTCAGCCTCCTGAGTAGCTAGGATTACAGGTGTGAGCCACTGGTGCCCGACCATTGTAGACTGAACAGCAGTAGAACTGGCATTAGTGTTCTTGGAGCCTAGGACTCAGGTGATACCATCAGAACCAGTTCATCACAATTAACTCACATCTAACTTTGGCTTGACCCCATTCCCAGACAAGCCTAGACACTACTAGACTTTGGTACTAGACACTACTAGACTTTGACTCTGATTGGCTGATTTATGTGCCCTGTTAAAACCATAGAGTGAAGCTGGGGGGGAGGGATGAACTAAAGTCAGAGAGGGGGAAGGAGTGATCCAAAGACCCTGGATTTGATCCTCAGAACCACACAAAAAGAAAAAAAAATTACAACATAATCTGGAACAAGATAAATAAAGGAACTTAATTGTCTAACGAAAAAGACTGAAACAAAATGATTCAGCCAAATATGACAAAATACTATAAGATCATTGAATTTTAGATTTTCAGATAAATTTTGGCAGCACTAAAATTTTCCTCATGACAGACTGTAAGGGAAAAAAATCAAGCCGAATGCAAATTAAATGGATATCTAGAATGCTCCCAGTTGCATAATAGAATGAAGACGGGAACACATAGCAACTCATTAAGTTTTCTGAGATAAGGGGCAATTTTCTGGTGTCTTTTCTTAAGTTCTTTAAAAAATACATGTAATGACATGACAAAATCTTATTCCTCAGAATTCATCCTGAAAAGAGAATTCTGTTCATTTGGAAAAATACCTGAATGGGAGCTTGGCATGGGAAATGAGATCCTGAAGGAGCTGAATGTGGGCAGGACTGTTCTGCATGAGCAATGAGGATGAATTTGTCATTCCAGGAAGATGCGGGAGGAATGAAGTCAGACAGATGACATAATTACAGCTCTCTCCAAAACCTCTCCAATCCAAAGTTTGATTTTTTTTTGTTGTTGTTGTTTAAATTGGAAACCGAAGACTTGGAGATTCTCATCTGAGTTGATGCAGTGGGAAGCAATGCCACATGAAAGGAGCCATTAAAATGGTGTGGATAAAACAGTAAGAATGATGGATTCCAAAGGTGGAGTTGAGGCCATATTGAACTTCCCGAATGATAAGAAAGCCCTAATCAACATTTCAGCCGCCCTAATGCCTTATTATTAGGTAATGAAAGTAAGTTTAAGTGAACAGATGGAAGGCTTCTAGATAAATATGAACTAAAGGAGCAACTACTCACTATGACACATAAAACTTCCAGTGGGTTTTAACAGTCTCACCTCCTGTCTGTTTTTCCCTGTGCTGAGCTGACTCCTCCATGAATAGTCCTTCTTGAAATTAAGCATGCTTTTCTAGAACTCCAGACATATACGCAACATCCATGATCAGTCATACCTTCAGCTGTCAATCTTGTTAACTCCTGTTAAGTCTAGGTGCAGGTTAAATGTACCACCTTGTTATGGGTTGAATTATATACGCTTCCTCCCTACCTCAGTCTATATGCAGGCACTCTAATCTCTAAGACCTCAGATTGTGACTTTATTTGCAAAGTGTTTCATTGAAGGTATAGCTAGTTAAATTAAGATAAGACTCTTATCTTAATTAATGGAGTAGGATGAAACTCTAATCCAACCTGTCTAGCATCCTTATGAACAGGAAATTTCAACACTGAAACTTGTAGGGGGAAATGTCATGTGACAAGTTAAGGAAAACCAAGTATTGTCACAACCACCAGAAGTTGGAGAAAGGCACAGCCATCAGAAAGAACGAATCTTGATCATAGGTTTCATCTTTTAGAAACTGCAACAATAAATTTCTGTTGTCTAAGCCACTCAATTTATTACTATTTTATAGCAGTCCTGAAAAATGAATTCACACCTCTTCTCTGTAATTTGCTACAAAAGCCCTGTCTATACTCTCCAGAACTAATTAGCATTCATTTAATTAGCTAATACATTTGGTACAATCTTACAGACTTTACAGTAGCATGGTTACTGAATTTTAGAAAACTATTTGTTTTTAATTCTATAATACATGTACTAGAAAGCATGTGTTTACCTGTTCATTCTTTTCGAATCCTTAGCCTTCCTTCTTTTCCTACCCAATACCTTAGTCTAGAGTCTCAAGAAAACTGAGCACAAACTAAAGATTAAGACATTGATGGTGTAATGAGGAAGATCCAACTCAGAAGAGTGAGGGTAAAAAAAAAGATGAAGTCATATAAATGACATAAAGTGATGTTACTGCCTGGCTGCCACTGTCTATGAAGCTGTGAAGAAACAGAACAGGTATGGAGGCAGAGGCAGCCACATGGTACAAAGGATTCCCTCAATAGGAGGCAAGCACAAATCATCCATAGAAAATATATAGGAGCAAAATTATTTGTCCAGTTCCTTCCTTCATGCAAGTT